GAAGCTTTCAAGTTTGATTCCACTCAACTCGAGAGCACATTGACCATATGGTGGTAATGAGGAACCATCTTCTAGTTAAATTTTAAACTCAGAGCTTCAAGTCTAGAAGAAAGCCCAAATTGTCTGTGATTTAGTAACCACGAACTATCTCTAAGCCTAAATTTTGACGTGGCTCAAGTCAAGAAGAGGTATTTGTCAACCAAAGCTTTTAAGTTCGGTTCCACTGAACTCGAGAGCACATTGATTGTATGATAGCAACAAGGAACTATCATTCGGTCGAATTTTTTTTAGATCAGTTGCAATCTAACGATGAGGAACTAGTCTTCACCTGAAACTTCAGGCTAAAGATTTAAAGATACTTGATCCATGAGCATATTCAGAACCGATTTTCATTCCAGATTTCAACTCCACGATAGAGGATATTTGGTTTAAAGAGCATTTCGCATGACTTTACTTGCAAAGAGGAGTCGTCCAAACCTTAGCTTGAACAGTCAAATAGAGAAACCAACCATCTAAACTAACTTTAATATTCATAAGCACACTAACCAATAATTTTGTTGACTTTTTAGATTCAATTATTTTGGGACCAAGATAAACTAGACGAAGATTTTCAAGACCCATATACTTGAAGATGTAGAAGATATAGACAAACTCCCGAAATGGACTCAAAAAGGCCCAATCATTCTTGAAGATGTAGAAAAATTGGAAGAGCATATCAACCAAAGAATAAAGGAAAATGATGACACCATAAAACGAAGCTATATCAATTGAACAAAATCAACTATTTTTATCTTTACTCTATTCATGTTAAACACCAATGAACAAAGAGGGGTGTTGTAATACTAGATTTTCATCTGACCTAGTTTCTTTTTCCAAGGGCCAAACATTTTATTGAAGTTGATTTTGATGTCTAGGACATCATCCAACTTACAACAAATTTTCAAGCACGATTCATGCATTTTCAGGGCATGATGTCTTCTTGATATGTGACGGGCTTTCAGTTAGATTTTCAATGCATTTAGAAACACCTCAATTAGATGTTGGGAACTCAAGATATTCTTATTTTAGCGAAGACATGGCGTGCAGAAAATTTGATACGGGCCCAATATGGAAATTTTTTAATTTAAATTTATTACAAATTATTAATAATTTTATTAAATATTTGTATTTCACCTTTACACTTCCCATAATATGTTTAGGATAATTTATTACATTTGCATTATTTTAGGATTTTTTTAATTAGGGTACCTATCTTTAATTCAAAGATGCTAGGGGTTTTCTCTTTTAGGGTTTTTCAGAGCCTATAAATATGCATTCATCTTATGTAAAGGGGGACACATTATTTTTTGGGAGAAAAGGGGAGCCACCCAAACATTATAATTTGAGATTACCGGTAATAAAAGATATTTTAAGGTAATTCTTTTCTTTTTCTTATTTTTTCCTTTGTTCTTATTTTATTTAAATCAATTTCAACTTTACCTTTTTTCTTTCTCTTTTTTTTTCAAAAACTCTATCGAGTGAGAGAAAACCAATGAACAAGGAAAATGCTATTGAATAAATTTTAAAATCTAGCATTCCTTGAGGTTTCTCAATGAAACGATATATTTTTATTTATTTTCTTATTTTATTTGTTATTGTTTCTTTTAATTACAATCTTACTTTTGTTTGAAAATCTTGTCGGATGAGAGAAAAACGATGAACGAGGAAAATGATTTTTAACTAAATCTTTCCTTTCCTTTACTTTCCTTGAGTTTTCTCAATGAAACCAACAATCAATCTTGAATGAAAAAATATTATTCTTTTTTAAAGAGAGAGAAAGAGAGAGATTTACCCTTCAATTAAATGATCCAATGACCCATCTTGGATCCTTATGGAATCCACGTGTTTTTACAAGGGTATGAGATAATTATTTTTTATGGTTCCTTCATTCTATTTGAAAATTTGTTTTTGTTTTGTTTTGAATTAAATTTCTAATTTTACTTATATGTATTTTAACCATTTGTTTTTTAACTTCACATTTTTTAGTTTTATTAAATGTCGTTTCTTTCTTTATTTTTTAGCTTCCACATTTTTTTAATATTTTATTGCTTAAATTATTTCCTTATTTTTTATTAATTTATTTCTTTCCTAGCTTATTTTTTATTTCTAATTGATTTATTGATTAAAATATTAACTTGATTTACTTTCTTTCTTTGTTAACGCATTTTAAATATTTACTTTTTTACTTTAAATTAGTTTTATACTTCTTTGAATATATTTGTATTTATTATTCTTTTCCATATTAGTTTTATGTGATATGCATGCATGTCTTTTATTATTTGTTTAATTTTGATGTTAATTTATCTTTTTGTGTATATTTTATATATTGTATATTTTTTATATTGTTTTCTTTAATTGTGATGCTTGTAACTCTATTATTTTATTTTGTAGACTACACTTAATTTATTATTTTTTTACTTTGTTTATCATAACACTAATTCATTTTGTTTTAAAGTAAGGATTCTTAAAGGTAAAGTAATTTTAATATCCACTTTAATTTGCGATCAAACTTTATTTTCAATAAAAATTATTCATTCTTTATTTTAAATTGTTCATGAATCATTTGCATTATAATCCATGCATGTAAACTAAATTGATTCTTTAATTTGTTTCTTTTAAAAAAGAATTAATGATATTTTATGAAGCACATTGATTGTTTGCATGACATTTTTATTTCTAAAGTATGATGACCTCATCCACATTACTCCATTATTTTACATAATAAATTAAAAGGTAAGGCTTGTTTAATTTAATTTATCGAAAAGGATTATTCTAATCCACCTGATAGTTTAATTCGATAATTTAAAGTAAACGAGCACCCTCCAGTGAAACAAATAAAAAAATTATCACTTTTAAAATCAATCGGAGGGTAGAAAGTGAAATATTCTCGTATTTAGATTTGTCGAAAATAGGTCTCTCGACCTTATTTGGAGATTTAAATTCGATACTTCTAAATATACGAACATTCTTTATCTATCTTAAAGGCCCGGTAATTATATTAATAAAAATTTTGCTTGTTGCACAATTTTAGGTAAATAAATATTATGAATAAGGTATTCCTTGTTTCCTTCTAGGGAATTGTCACTCTACCTTATATTAGGTGGTGATTCCCTTTCGGTTCGAAATGTTGGAATGCCAATTAAGATCTTCGATGAAACGATTAGTGATTGATCGATTTAATTGGGAATGAAAGGGATATCATTTTTCCTTATATATGGTAGTTAACTTTCCTCAATTAAATGTTTGAATCGTTAATCTTTTTTCTTGGGTTTTAAATATCATGGTATTTATTTAATTAAATAGGGGATCATTAGTTAAATTAAATTTGAACCCATAAATTCCATCGCAAAGACAATAATTAATTAACTAGGTATTGATTTTCGGACGTTGTGAGGTATTGATCATTCTCCACATATAATCGACTCCTGAACCTATTTTTTTGGAAAGTGGACCTAAATATTGTATTAATAATTTTTTAAAATTAAATTTTATTAAAATGACAACATTTTAGGTGATTCAATCACACTCTAAACAAATATTGCCGATTCCCTCCAATCACACCTTAAAATATTATTATAAACACGTCACTCTGTTGATAAAATTAAAAAGTAACGTGGACCAATAAAAATGTTAATTTCTATAAAAAAAAAAGAAAAACAAAAAAAAAATCATAATATTATATCATGATAGAAAAATAGTACATATTCCTAAATATGCAATCTATACATTATTTTAGCACATGTCATTCTAGTAGTATGTAACATTAGCATTGAAGGTTGTCACAACTCATTAATTTATGGTTGAAAATACAGGATTGAATATGAGTATCATATATATAATTATATATCCCACTGTCCCACACATTAAAAATTTCATATATTTGACACGAACTCAGCGACCTCAGTAGTAAATGAATTATTGTTATTTTTTGAGGTCCTAGTTCGAGCACTAATAATGTCATGGGCGTGAACGTTCAATGTCAAATGGTTGAGAGGTATCTTTGAACATGTATTGTCTTGTACTTACCCCAGATAAATAAAAAAATTCATATCCCTCCTACATTGTTGTTCTATATCTCCTTGTTTATAATGTTTAGGTTTTTTTTAAGTGCGATGTTCGATTAAAAATTCAGTATTTCTTTTTTTGAATTAATTACTGGAATTCGATCTATTGACCGACTAATCCAAATCGGGTACTGCAGAGGCGAGGGCGACCCTCCCAATCCAGTTTGCTCCATTCGTAAACGACAGGATTTGAACCCTTGGCCATACTTAAGGGACCTAGTGCCTCATCCCACTAGACCAACTGGTTATTGGTAAAAATTATGTATCTTCTTATTAGTGTAATAATCATAATATCGATCGGATTAAGAATCAATCGACGGGTTGCAGACGAATTTTAACAATGTTATATAATTCACACCGAAATGATGTTTTTTTTTTCTTATAACTTGAACAAGTTTAACACTTATATTTAGAATCTTTTTCATCATTTATTCAATTAGTTAGATCTATCAGTTAGAATAGTTACTCTCATCAAACCCGTGATTATAAAATAAAGTAACAAAAACCCATTTCCTCCCCTCACACAACGAATGGATTTAATGCTAAACAAACATCACATGAAATTATTTTTAATGTGATTTCCACTTAGATATATTCTAAATTTAACCAGAAAATACACCCACATCAAACCTGACCCTATGAGCCTATGTGAATTCATTTCTAATGCAAAGATGTCATGTCATCATGCAAATTTGATTATATGAAAATCCAATCTCTCATGCATTCCATGCTCTTCTCTCACTCGATACCTTAAATCCTCTCTCCCCACCATTCTTCTTTCTCCTCACACAGCACAAGAAAAGGCTACATTGTAAGTCATTTTCATGATTCTTTTCTCTCTCTTTTTTTTTTTCGGGTTATTTTCGTTTTCCGTCGTCGTGAATTCACGGGTTTTTGATTCGACAGATAAAGATGGTTCGACCTCCTTGTTGTGACAAGCTGAATGTGAAGAAAGGGTTGTGGAGTGAAGAAGAAGATGCAAAGATACTTGCTTATGTATCTAAGCATGGTACTGGTAATTGGACTGCTGTTCCGAAAAAAGCAGGTTAAAAATTACTGTCAAGTCTGTAATTTTTATTTTACTTTGGTAGTTTTTTTCTTCGTTTCTTTTCTTCTTCTTTTTCCTATGGGACCTCATGTCATGTCTGAATGTGGTGTTCAGGGCTTAGAAGATGCGGGAAAAGTTGTCGACTCCGATGGACTAATTACTTACGACCGGATCTTAAACGCGAAAGCTTCACTCCTCAGGAGGAAGAGTTGATCATCCGGCTTCACGCCGCGATCGGCAGCAGGTAATGTCAGTTCCGGAACATTTCATGTATGCTGTGGTACATGCTGCAGCTCGGTGCAAGTGTCGGATACATGTACTTCGTAAACAAATGAAGAGTTCGAGTAAAATTCTGTTTTGCTAACAGTTTTTTAACAGCCTGTTTCTGTTATTAGTGCAAGACATATTATGTGACACTGTCTTTTATGTGTGTGTGTGTGTCTGTTTTTTCTTTTGGTTATGGTTCCAGGTGGTCCATCATATCCCAACAGCTTCCCGGAAGAACAGACAATGATGTCAAAAATTACTGGAACACTAAGCTGAAGAAGAAACTTTCGGAAATGGGGATAGATCCGGTTACTCACAAGCCTTTTTCTCAAATCCTAGCCGATTACGGGAACATCGGCGGCCTCCCGAAGTCGAGAACCCGGATTGGTTCCCTAAACCGAGACATGAAGAATACATTCCTGATAAAACCGGAGCTGCATCAACCACAACCACCAACAGCAGCAACACAGGGATTCACCAACATCAACAATAACCAACTGATGACACATATGGCAGCACCCCCCGGGATCGAACCGATCTTCGCGAACAACAATGTTAACCATCATGCTGCTGCTGCTGCTGATTGTGACTCCCTGGACCTTCTTTCTCAGCTCCAAGCCATAAAACTCGTGACCGAGGCCTCGAACTACACCGGTTACCAAATCGTCCTGCCTACGTTCCCTAATCAGTACCCGTTATCGTTATCGTCGCCGTCTTCATCGTCTTCCACTACTTCTTCCTCCACTTGTTCCACTGCAGCTCAAGATAAAACCGGCCTCACCTTCAGTTGGCGCGATTTCCTTCTCGACGACGCGTTCCTACCCCCTCAAGTACCCGAATCCTATGACATTGCACTGCAAAATCACAGAAGCAACAACACTAGTGTCCAACACATGGACACTAACAACAACAACAACGACAATGACAACAGAGTCATCCCGGGAACTGGGAGCGAACCGCTAAGCTATGGTTTTCAATCATCATCATCATCAACTGAAAGTTCATTTGTGGCAGCCATGCTTGATCAAGAAAAGGAGATGTTCTCTGAGTTTGCAAATCTTTTGGAAGATCCTTGTTATTAACTTTAAGTAGGTCCATTATATATATATATATATATAATTAAGAATAATTGAAATATGAATAAAAACTTCTAGTAATGTGTACTCACTACTTTGTTTCCATGTTAAGGCTTATGAAGAATCTCTGTTGCAACACTGTGATTTTAACTGAGGAGTTTGTTATTAGTTCATCCTATCTTATACGAGTGCAATTATAGTACCACTTCAATTAGATACTTTCTTTCATTTTAGTCTTTGAATTCTTCTTTTTTCCCAGAATAATCCTTGCATTATTTCATCATTGAATTGTTTTTTTCCATCCAGCTCAGTTGGTAGAGCACAAGGTTTCTTAACCTTGAGGTCGTGGGATCGAGTCCCATGGAGGGTATTTCATAATTTGGAGGTCTCTTATGGAAGCTGCTCTCAACCTAGTGTTGGGGGCAGCCTACTATCTTACCTCCCCCTTACCCCATTACATATGGGAACAAGGGACATCCATTTATTAGCATAATGCGAATAGAATACGTCTAACATTTCATTGAATAATCACTTTTACAACTATTTTTTGGAAACACGTTAATCTAAACATTTCATTTTGCGTCAAAATGGGCTCTTTCTGAATGGAAACCATCGGTCAACGCCTTGAGACGATGTGAAAATCTTACATGGCGTCTCAAGGGGTTTACTCAAGGGGTTTATTGTTAGTTGAGTAACTGTTTTCATCCACATAGGGTTCATTTCAACCCAAAATGAAACGTCGAGGGTTAACATTTTTAAAAAAAGTCAAAGTGATTATTCAATCAAATGTTAAAAGTATTCTTTTTACATTATCCCTTGATAATTGAAGTTATTTAACTGTTAACTTTTAATAGAAAAATATTATTGAGGTCATTTATTTATAATTATAAATCAAATTGATAAAATATATAAATATTTACAACTAAATACGTTGTTATGTCAACTATTAATCGATAACATTATTTTTATTTTAAAGTTAATGACATAATGATAAAAACAATTAAACTAGATTAATCAAATGAAAAAAAGTAATATTTTAATTTAATTATCTAAATACAACTTAACTAATTGTCCAATTAACATGGGTTTATTTCACCCATTTTTGGAGGTTGTGTCATGACAGTATCATCAAAATAATTAAAATTCTAAATTCATAAACTAAATTGATAGAAATTATTAAATTTAGTGATTAGATATTGCTTTATCTCTTAATATTTAGAGCATGGCATTTACTAATTCGTCTTACGGATGGTAATTTAGCCCGAAATCAACATATTTCAATTTGATCCAATTTTAATAGGTGTATGTTTTTTTAAAATCGAGTTTGAGTAAAATTTTATATAGAATTCGGCCGAATCGGGTCGAGGGTGAAAAACCTCCGATTCGATCTGTCCCGTAGGTAATATAGCAATTTTCATATAAATTTATGGATAATTGTTATAATATCTTCTCTCTATAGTTTTCTTATTTAGGTTATTCTTTTATGTTAGTTGAGTCGAGTTTATAATCTAAAAATCGATTTAGGTCAGATTCAAGTGAATGGTGTACATTTTTTTAAATCGGGTAAACAAAATATATTTTTTAAGTCGGCACGAATTTGAGTGAATGGTATATATTTTTCGGATCGATTCGATAAAAAACCAATCCCACCCAATTGATGCCATCTCTAATTCAGCCTCTTGATTTTGCTATTGAGCCATGGGATTGCTTGGGCCTTTTAAGTCAACTAATTGGGCCTCACGTAGAATTACACATTAATTTTAAAGTGAAATGTTTTTAAATGATTTAAAATTTTATAATTAAATAAATTTTATCTATAGATTTCTATCATATGATATTTAATTTTTGAGATTTTGAATTCGAGTTAGGTAATAAACATTCATTATTAAATGGTTGATAGTCTTCGAACATATACTGTCTTGTATTCACTCCACGTTTGTTGAAAACGTTTTTTTATATTTGCTTAAAAATAAATAATTTATATATATTTAAATAATTTAGAGTAATTACGAGGTAATATGTATTTAAAAAATTTCTTAATCAATGATAATACATACTCTTTACAGTTGTTTGAACCTAGAATCTTAGAATAACACTTTTTTTAATCACTTTATTCGGGTTGAAATAATTTACATTTATTTTTTATTAAAAATTAATTATACATCATCATATAATTTACTCAAAACATATAAAATCATACATAATAAATACAATAAAAATTAATATTTTTTATATTTAATTGGAAAAAATAAACAAATAATTTGTGTGGCGTTCGAATAACGCAGGAGCATATTCCAACAGTCAGTCATTATCATCACCGATTAGGACTTTATCACTAAAAATCATCGGTTGAAGGGACCCACCCATCTCTTCCTAAAGGATAACACCGAATAAATCTGAGGGTAAATTACAAATTTGACAGCTAAACTTTAATTATCTCATATTTCATTCACTATACTTTATATCTTTTTAATTTTCTCACTGAACTAAATACATTGGATTTTTTTGTCACTCAATCGTTTCCTCACTAACAGTGTTATAAATAGACTTTTAAATAGATAAAAATGAAACTTTTATTTTTTTAAAAAATAGCATCGTTTTAACGCTGTTAACTATTTAACGAACGAGTGAAAAACACATGTATTAAGTTTAGTGGAAAATTGAAAACTTTTAAAGTTTAGTGAGTAAAATAGGATAAAGAGTAAAGTTTAGTGGTAATATTTGTAATTCACCCTAAATCTGAAAACCATAAGAACTATTTTAAAAAGGTTTAATGTTAACCTTACCCCCTCTACTTTTATGACTTTCGAAATTTTGTTTCTTTGGACTTTGATAACACGCATTTAATGTTTACGAAAATATCAATTTTATTGATCACATTTTAGTTATATATTCAAACAAATGTAGTGACTAAATTCAAAAAGTTCAAAGTGTACGGGGACTGAATTTGAATTAGAACACTTTAAATATAAACACACAAATATATTCTTATATGTAATTAAAAATTAAATGGAATTGATAAACCAATATTTACTATAAATTAGTATTACAAGTCAGTTCGGCATCAACTGAGAGTAATTAATATTAGAGTTAATTGTCTAAGAGTCCTTAAACTTAACTTCATTCTAAATTATTTCTTAAATTTAAAACAGTTTATATTCAACATTCAAATTATGGGTTTATTTTAAAATAATCTCAACATTTTAAAATATTTTATATCTACCCTTAAACAATCAATATCGTTCTATTTTGATCATTCTATTAACGTGTAATTAATTATAAAAGTTAGAAAAATTAATTTATTTTTAAAGGTCTCGTAAACTAAACTCAGTTAATAAACATTAATTGAAGAATAAAATGAAATAATATTGATAATTTGAGGATTGATATAAAATATTTTAAAGTTGAAGAATTAATTTAGAAGAAAAATTATAATTCGAAGATACATATTGTACAATTATCTCATAATATTATAATTTTTTCACTCTATTATATACAGTTCAAATAACACATAAAAACATCAATTTAAAATTGAACAGATGCTCAATAAAGTATAATTAATTTTTATTACTACATTTTTATATAAAATATATTTTACATCCTAAATGTGAGAAACTCTAGTAGTATTAATAGAATTCAATTAAATTTTGACATTCAAATGTATAATTTAAAAATAAAAATTTAATTAATAGTTTAAATTTAGATTTAACAAAAATCAATTAACAATAGGCTTAATACAAAAATAAGTGACTGAACTTTGTCTAAAAAAACGTTTTAGTGACTAAAGAATTTTTTCGCTAAAAATAGGTGCCTAATGTTTCTAAAGTTATACATTTAGGTGCCCGCCATTAAAAATCACCCTTTAATTGACCGTTAAGTGACACGTGTCACATTCTGATAATTTTGAGAAATTATTTAAAAAAAATTGTATTAAAAAAAAGGAACGTTACCCCGTGCTTCTTCTCCATCTCCCCATTCCCCTTCCTCTTTCCCCTGCAATACGTCGTCGATCGGTCGGTGGTGACCATCATCTCCATTATCATCGGTACCGACGTCGACCTTCGATCAAACTCTCGGTGATCTTTCACCGTAAGCTGCCGCCGTTTGTCGTGGAGAAGCATTCGAAGTTTCATCGGATTTTAAGTCACTGTTGCTATTTTCGTCGATTCTAATCGATCCCGACGTGCAAATGCCACACCGTCACCACCATTCGAACTACCATCCAATTCCACTCAAAACCCATCCTCGTCATCATTCAATCAGTGCTCCTCTAGTGTTTCATCATGGTAACGAGATTGAAATGAGATATTTTAGTTTTTTTATAATTTCATTAAAAGTTTAAGGTTTTTTAAAAATAAATTAAGTTTTTTTTTAAAAAAAATATTTTCATTAAAAATTTATTATTAAAAAAATATATAACGGTGATACCTAAAAGTGTAACGGAGAAAACTTTATTTACTAATTTTTAATAAAAAATTCTTTAAACACTAAATCGTTTTTCGAAGTAAAATTCAGACACTTAATTTTGTATTAACCCTTAATAATATTATCAATTACACTTTAATTTTAAATCAAACACCTATAGTAAAGGGACTCAGATCATAATTAAACTCTTCAGAAATAAAACAACAAAAGAATCTTGTACTATATATATAATTAAAAACACGCACGTTTGCTCTACAATTTCCCCATTTTTCCTCGGCCAAATCACAGAAAGTAAACAACAGCAAGCTAATAATGTCCGACGAAGAGCACCATTTTGAGTCGAAGGCCGACGCCGGCGCCTCCAAAACCTTCCCTCAACAAGCTGGAACAATCCGTAAGAACGGCTACATCGTTATCAAGAACCGTCCTTGCAAGGTATGATCTTTTGAACGATCTCCATGATATCATCGTAAAATGAACTCGGAATTATCTTTTTGGATTTGGGTTTTTTTTTTGTGATTTGCATTGAGATTTGAGATTCTGATTGCTCAGATTTGTTGATTTTAGGTGTTTTAGTGGTCGGGTAGTTGAAATCTATATTTTTTTCGTTTGATTTCTACTTTTTTTTCTTTTTCCGAAGTGAAAAGTGACGTTTTTCG